CCCCCCCCCCCCCACCCCCCAAATCCAAAAGCACCTGCGTTGTAAAGACAGTGTAAATGAACTTGACCTCTCATATGCTTAATTTTATCAACATAAGAACCGTCTATTGGGTTCCAGGGGATTTTAAGATTGGCATGAACTCATTTTTCAGTGCTACGTTAACTCAAATTATTCATAACAATGACCCATTAAAATTAACTCTGAGACAACGCTTTAACTAACGCATATCCAAGTGCCAATAATGCCCATGTTAAATGTAACTAAAAGGAGTATGTTGATATCAATTGAAATGGTAGAAACACTTTAATTCAACGCATGAAGGCTCCTTTAAGCTATTTTTAAGAGGCGACTTACTAAGGGAGTACTAAAAGAAAAAAATAAGAAATCATTATTAGGAAGATCATTAAGAAGAGGGAAATAGTGAGAGGGGAGTTAGCTTACAGGTGAAGTCTTTGAGGAAGCTGAAGTTGAAGATGACTTTCGAGGGGAATTTTCAGGGGTTAAATGCGATTCCATGCCATCAGAAAAGAGTTTGAGGTTGGATATCTTCAATCTCCGTGTCTTCAAGTTCCCAGAGGTCGAGTGATCCGTTTCTACTTCTGAAAATAATGTGTGAAATACTACCTACTCATACTTTATAAGTAAATAGCCAAAAACGGGGAATTCAAACCTTTTTTCTCGGTAGGTTTTGGGTTCGATTCCCCATTTGCATCAACATTTGCACTAGTCATGGAAGAATCGGTCTTGTCAGAAGTTTTTGTTGACTCAAGGAGATTTCGTGCCTTATTAAGCAGTTGCTCATAACGTTCTGAAGCACTGCCACTACCCGAATTGAACTGGAGGAGGACGACGGTTAAAACAACAATAGTTAGCACAAAAAAGCAGTGAAATTGAAGACAATGAAATAATTTTTTTAAACCTACTCTCTGTTTCGTCTTTTTTCGTTTGGATTTCTTCGTGGAGTCCTTAGACCCTTCCTCCTCTTTCTCGTGGACTCTGTGAAAGAGAAAAATAGGACCAAAATTGAAAATAACATTACTAATTACCTCAATATGAGCGTGTAAATATTGTCGGCAATCTGCAAGTTAACAGTAATTTAGCAATCAATCAACTAGATAAGCTGATTCCAGATAGGCACAAGGTCGATGAAAACGATATACGATGTTGATAATAAAAGTATACGACGCAGACTAGCGTATGAAAACCTAACCAATTTTCCCTTCATGAACCTATGAATGTTGCGATAATTCACTGTAAGACAAAGCAATAGATGTTCCCATTCGCCTTTCTTTGGGATATCAATAAAGCCTGTGGTGTTGGAAATGCGAGGTATAGTAAACCTGATTAATCAAATTAATGGTGTTGAGATTGTGTCGCTTGAAGAAGCCGATTTTTTAGAAGAAATACTGTTATTCAGAAATTTTATGCTCAACGGGAAAGTTTGTGGCATTGCAAATGATGACTCAGCAGTTGACACACACATGTTCCACATGACAAACCTTAACTTGTAATGAGCATTCTAGCTCCATTGAAGAGAGTTCTAACAACACGTTACTTATGGCAGATAGGGGGGTATGTTGAAGCCTCACTTATGAGAAATTCGGCCTTTAACCAAACCGGTAAGAGATTAGCCAAACGCCTCACTACACACTGCCAAGTACCGATAAAGAGGAACCCCCAGATGGACCCTTTATTCAGCCAAAAAAACATACTATCAATTGCTCCGTCCACAGGCGTATTTAGGAAAAAATGCCCGTTTACTAATAAGCGAGATGTGCAAGACGCTATTCAGACGCATAACAAAAACAGCGAGGAACTAGTTTTGGGAAAGGTTTGGAGAGAATTAATTCCATAGAAAGTGGAGCAATTAGGGCTTCTCTCTTCTAAGACCGAAAAAAAGGAAAAGTGCCGCTTTTTCTGCAATATTTTGAAGGAGCCCGCAGTGAATCCACTATCAACAGTGGGGATCGTATTCTGAGATGCATGTCGGTCATAACACTTAAACCGACCGAAAATTGGACATTGGAGTTCCTAGTTATTCACAGCAGCCGAAAAACAGTAAGCCTGTCGGTGGTGGAAGAGAATATTATTTTTCGTCAAGTAGTGGCATACAGTTGGCAGCTTAGTAGTGGTAGCCCACTATTTCATTTGGACTTCCTTTAAATTTAAGCATAAGGAATTGACGTAGTTAGCTGAATTAGCCATGACCTTGTGACAACTTTCTTCACAATTCTCCTTGAAATTGGGGAAGTATTTTCCAACACCCATTTGGATAGAAACTTGTATTCCGCCTTCTCATTCTCGTCCTCTAGTAGACAAACTGAACTAGTTCTCTTAGTTATTTGGCTCACTGGATCTTCATCCGAACTTTGATCACCCCTGGATCTTGGCGACTATTACGTTCATAGCAGTGTCAACGCGTACCCCGACATTCAATTTATAACTGTGCGTACAAAATAACTCACTCATTATTGCCATCCACTGATGTGTTATTGACTTCTCCATTAGCATTCGCTCTTTCTGACATCTCAGCAGACTCCTTGGCAAAAGCAGCAGCTGTCAAGACAGTACGCAACTGGTGGAGATAAGTCATCATTGAAAGACGATCAGGTGCACCCCCTCGACCACGAGTGACCTCACAGGGGTCCACGAAGACCCGTGCTACACCCAGTCGACCTGCAGCGTCGAAAGCTAGTCGGACCCGTTCCGTTGGGCTCAGGGCGCGAACTGCTTCAAAGTCCCCGCTATAAAATGGATTAAGAAAAAAAACTAACTTAGATTCAATCCATAGTAGGGTGGAAGTGCGTAGGAAAGTATAAAATAGAAATCACAACTTTGAAACTGTGCTTAGAACGTATTGCGAGCTATCTAGCCATTACAGTAGTTGGCAAAGACAAGCAAAACAGGCCTGACAGCAGAAGAAGTCAATTGTTTTCAAATCATTTGGAGGTTTTGTCACGTAGAGGACCTGAACACCACTGGTTACACAACTTGGTGGCATAGCGAATCTGAAGGCATGCCTTGCTTCCTTAATTCACTGACTCATGTACATGGTAAAACGCGGATCATGGTTAAGACCTAATTGGGTGAAACTAGCCGTATTCCGATCATTCATTTCTAGGCATCATAATTGCGCCATACGCCAAATACACCATACTTCTAGTCTTGCCATCAGAACTGCAAGGCGTGGAGTGAAATACGTTAAAAAGTACTATTCACAACTACCATCCAGACGACTTTAGAGCTGAACTCTAACTGAATGAAGTACTAGCGAATCATAGAAGCCTTATGAATAATGAGGTGGCAATCACAACCTCTTCAAAAGTTACAATCCGCCTTTTTCCCATTGAATTGCAAATTACACATTCCTTGTACGAACATAATTTAGGAAATAGCTATTAAAGTGATTACCGATCTTTAACAATAATACGAGGATTTACTTTCGGATTGGATCACTTGAAAGGACACAGAACTTTCACCTTCGGGGGGGGGGG